AGTAGTTAAAAAAGGGTAAACTAAACCAAAAACTACCAAATATTAAAAAAACACCTTGAAAAAGTGAATTTGCGGCAAGCTTCTGTCTTTTGTCGGCTTTACAAAGCACGCCACATTTTTATAAAATAATAAAAACAGTAAAGAATATATTATTTTCATAATTGTATAATGTTATTTTTTTTTATTTTTGAGAATTTTTATTTTTTAGTTGGTTGGGGACAATGCGCCTATTTCTTCGTGGCGCCTAAGGCAATTGCCTTGCCTGCCTAATGGGTAATATGGCCCTGAGTAGCCCTAATGCAAAAATGATATAGGAAAAACTTTCTTGTTTTGGCGTTTACTATCAACCCCAAAAGGCTGACAATTTATTATGTGACACCCTGTATGTAAGAAAAAATCGATGGCCTAAATACCAAACAGTTTTAAAATTAAAATCCCCCAAAAATACCGGATTTTAATCCACCCCAACTAGCTAAAATAAGCGATTATCGGTCGAGAAATCCCATCATTACCAATTCGAAATTCGAGAAAAGCGGATGATTTTTCGACGTTTTAAAATTCTCCCTTTAATTTTCCATTAGGACCCGACCCCTTAGTGTATAAATAAGTAATAAGTGTATTTGTGTTTTGCGGGAACATTGTTTCAAAAATTTTCTTCCATTTTTATTGTGCCGGCTTTAAGCCTTATTAAATATTACCTTACGGTTCTTTAAAATCATTGTTGTCATCTCATATGTTACATATGAAGTTAGGGGCTTTGTTTTCCTAAGAAATAAGCTTCCTATATGATTTAAGACTTAAAAATATACTGAGAAAAATATATACACAGTAAAAAAATATTTGTTAACTATTAAACAGTTACTGTACTAATTGAAGTATAATAAAAACTTTGGCTGTTTTCATTGTTTACTTTGTCTGTGGCAGCCGCTAAGGTTAGACGTGTTTTATGAGCTCGGCGATTTGGTTCGTTAAAGGAAATGGATCAAAGAATTTGTATCCAATTTTGCTTAAAAATGAAATAAATTCTGTGAAATGCTAATAAAGGCCTATAGTGAGTCAGATATAAGTAAAACAAGAGTTTACAAGTGGTACAAGAGTTTCCAAGATGGCCATGAAGACGTTGAAGATGGCGAACGCCCCGAACGCACAAGCACATTAACAACCGATAAAAACATGGAAAAAGTGGAAGAAATGGTTATAAACCATCAGAGAAGTCGCTGATGATGTTGGCTCATCCCATGGAATTTTTTCGAATGTTTTGGGTATGAAACGCGTGGCAGCAAAATTTGTTCTAAGATTGTTAAATTTTGAACAACATTTTTGGCCAAAAACAATACTGTAATGATTCCCCAGCCTCCATATTCGCCAGACATGCCTCTGTCTGACTTTTTCCTATTCCCAAAAATAAAGAGAGCCTTAAAGGGCCATCGTTTTGCAAGCATAGATGACGTTAAAAGCGCATCGCTGAAAGAACTAAAGGCTATCCCAAAGATCGAGTTTTAGAAGTGTTTCGAGTATTGGAAGAAGAGCTGTCACATGTGCATAATATACAATGGGGACTATTTTGAAGGCGACAACATAGACGAATAAATAAATATTTGTTTCAAAAAACGAAAATTCCCGATATTTTCTGAACACACCTCGTATAGTATAATTCAACCATAATTCTTGTAAATTTCAAAAAAGACCTTATTTTAACAAACAATTGGAAACCTAAATGAAAAGAATTTTAATAAGAAATGTTGCTTTATTAATCAATTTCCCAAACAAAAAAAGTAACACATAGGTACCTAAACTAATAATTGTATGAATTTGTTCAACAAATTGGTGTGGTAAATTGTAGAAAATAATTGTGGTAAACCTATTATATTAAAAACTTACATAATTTATTTGACATTTGAACATATCGATGGTTAATTGACAAAACATCGTAAGCGACAATTTTGTTGAATTACTTTTTATTTTATCAAAGTGTCAGTTACGATAAGCTGCGCATGTTAACATAATAGTTATCCCAAGTATTGGAATCTAATACTGGTCAGTTTGAGTATTTTTATTATTGTAAGCGCCTCTTCTTTTTAATTTGTTACCGATTTATAACTTAAGCGCCTATATGTTCCCGACAAAAATCGTAAAAGCGCCTCTTCTTTTTAATTTGTTACCGATTTATAACTTAAGCGCCTATATGTTCCCGACAAAAATCGTAAGCAACTCTGAGACATGGCGTTTGCGATTTAACATTGTGTCGCTTACGATAATATTGTGCTCCCGCCTTGATCTATTAAGGCGTTATTCCCGCTCTAAACAGTTTATTCGTGAGTATACCTCCATCGTGGGTATTGCTACCAAGTTTTAAAACAATATTTTATTTGATCAAAAGCTTTTAGTCTTATTTCAAGCAGGAAATCATTTCATTGGTTATCTTAGGTGGTGTGATGCTTCATTCCCGAACAAATTGTCCAATATTGTAAATTTTATATTCTCACTCAATGTTATAATGAATTATTTTTAAAATTGAACAAAAGAGTAACATTTATTTTTTTAAATATTTTTAACAACAGATTTCAACTCTTCTTGACAATTAATACTACAAAGTTATGTTAAGAAATATGATTTTTATAACAGTATAGAAAGATATTTTAAATTTGCGATTCATTCTTATATAATAATGTTAATTCTAAAATCCTTATCACCCAGATTTCAATTTGGTTTCCGTATGACGCCCGATGTTGTCCGCTTCGATTAGATGATGGCAGGGGGTCGATAATGAAGGGATTTGCATTGCATTTGCTGGTCAAAGGAACGGTTTGGACCGGTTGACGGGAATGGCTTAATCGAATTTCGTATAGTTTGCATTAATTACTTACATCATGTATCATAATTGCCTACGATACACATCATCCTGCTCCAGTTTAACAAATTATATCACTTCTGTCTCTATCTCTCTTTCCCATTCTCCTGCTATCCCTTTCCAGGCTACGCCTATACCTGCTAGATGGATTCCTGCTTCTGGCTTTTCAATTTACTGTTTCATTATTTATTAAGTTCGTTTGCATATTAGATGGATCATTTCGTTAAAACACGCTGATATGATTTGCCAAACAAAAAAGTTTTTTTATATGTAGAAAACAATTATGTCTTTTATGAAACAATAAAACATACACGGTACCAAAATGGTACCTTGTGGCACAAAAGTTAATCGTCAAAATTGTAGATATTTTGGCCTCAGCAATCTATATTGGATTAAAGAAAATCAAACCCAGTATCCAGAACAATTTGTAATAGAGTAACCTTTTTAAATAAAACTCTAAATGTTGAAAGGTACTTAACTTTTCTTCCAGATTTTTTACTATATTTGGTGGTTTAGTTTCTATGCAAAGATCTAGAATTTATTATCTGGTAGGTACATAAGTCTAGATCTTTGCATAGAAACTAAACCACCAAATATGGTGAAAAATCTGGAAGAAAAGTTAAGTACCTTTCACCATTTTAGTTCTATTACAAATTATTCTGGATACTAGTAGTATCTTCAGAAGTCAGGGCCGGATTTAGAGGTGTGGAGGCCCTGGGTCAACAAGGGAGTGAAGGCCCCTAATTATTTTTCAAATAGGTTAAATAATATTTTTCTTGTAAGTGTTTCAATCATTTTAATGAAATTATGCCAAATGCCACAATGGAAGAAGAAGTACATCGCCTTATGGACATATTTGGAGTAAAAAAGTAACGAATTTGGTTTTATAAATATTACATCACACATTATTTTCACATTATTCACCATTGGACAACATTTACGTTCACAAAAAATTTTAATTTCTTTTATATAAATTCTTTTCAAAGCGAAGAATATTATCCGCTAGGAATACTTTCTCTTCTGGGCCGTAAAGCAACTACTTTTTTATATGATTTTACTCATCCAAGCACCACCAAAGCTAAATTAATTGTCTTCTTCTTCTTCTTCTTCAAGTTGGGCGGACTTACGGCTCAACCACCGCCCTTTTGGTCGTGGACAAAAATCCTTATTAACCAGCTACTAGTATTAACGTCCAATGATTTCAGAAGAACCAAAAACCATTGGACAACCGTTGTCTAACAAACACGTGGACACAAATAGGTTATGTAACCTTGAAATTTTAAATGTTCATATAAATTCCTCTATTCCTTTAAAAAAGGACAAAACGAGGAATATTATCTAGGACTGGAATCCGGTTTTGTCCTCCCTGAGTCAAAGTCAACTATTTTTCACACTTTTTCATGGAGCAATGCAGGAACGATACGCTTCTCACCGAGGACAAAATCGAACTCCCTAAATTAATTGCATTTTTAACTACGAATTTCGTCAACTCAACTTGACAACTGCACAATGTAACCTACAATAATTTATACATAACCACAATTATATTTATAACTAGCTTAGTTTGTTTTAATCAATGCGACCAACTTGACAACTGTATTTACCAACCAAAACCCTAAATTTGCAACGTTGCCGCAGTCTAGATAAAAAAAGAACTTTATATAGGATAATAACAAATTCATACTTGTAATTTGTAACTGCGTTAAAAATGATTTTTAGGGCTATAAAACAGATTTTTATAGTAAAATTGTTTTAAATATTTAATTTTGTAATATTTGATTCTTAAATCAAAATGGCAGACGAGCAAAATAATGGCGAATGAGCGAATGAGACAGCGTCAGAGCTCATCCCTTGTCATTTATTCATAAATTCGTTTACATTTTGGTAATGAAAACGTCAGGTCCATTATTCATTTTAATTGCTCCATAATTAATTTCAATCTGCGCCGAAACCCAGACCAGCAACGCTGAAAACAAATTTAAACATTACACAAATTAAACCATATTGTATTCGGCAAAAGCCAAATTGCACCCGATATGGAAATATATGTAAATCTGATAAAATCCTCTCTATAGAGTAGTATACTCGATACGAATGTTGCATTATCAACAAACACAAAACTAAACAGCGATTTGTTTGTTTGTTTCAGCTCCACCGGGTTCAGGCCGGTCATAGATGGAAATCCCGGGGCAAGAAACACCCCGCCGCTGTTCTTCCCGCCCCATCTGGCGTCGCATATATCTTCGCAATTCTCGCCGCCACTGTTTCCAGCTTTGAAAGGTGAGAAATACTAAAATAGTACCTCAGGGCTCCTAACTGGGACCCTTTGGGTACCATATTTTTATTAACGATCTGTGATATTTGTTTTGAATGACAACATATAAAAATACTTGATTTCTAAAATCTTTAAGCTAACATTCTTATAGGTAGTTTGAACTTTCTAAAGTAGTTTTTAGACATTTTAAAAAATTTGATAATCTTGAATTTGTTTAAAATTCTAAAATGCCTAAATTATGTTTTTAACATATAAATTTAGCTTTTACCAACATCAAATTTTAACATTTAAATGTTTTGTTTTAAAACTCATGTTTTTGACATTTTAAAATATAACATTATAAATTGTGTTTTTGACGATCTTATTTGACGTACTAAAATTTCTTTATGACGTTATTAAATATATTTTCAAAATTTTAAAAAGTGTTTTCGATATTATAAATTGTGTTTTTAACAATTTAAATTGTGAATTAACATTCCAAAATGAGTTAATAATCTTAATTTTGTCACGACATTTTTAATTTTATTGGTTTAACATTTAAAATGTTTTTTGACCTTCTAAATTGTATTTTGCGCTGGAAAACTTAAAAAATAGTATTATTTTGCATTTCCATTTATTTAAATCAAATCTAAAGCTTGTACCACTTTGTTTATGACCTTATTAAATATGTTTTTGCATTATAAATTGTGTTTTTAATAATTTAAATTGTGTTTTAATCCTTCTAAAATGTGTTTTTTTTTTATTTTAATTTAATGTTATGGATTTTGACATTTTAAATGGTTTTTTTTTGTTTTTGACATTATGAATTGTGTTTTTAACAATTTAAATAGTAATTTAAACATTTGAGTTTGAAGTTTTAAATTTTGTCATAACATTTTAAATTTTTTGGGTTTGACATTTTAAATGTTTTTTTGACATTGTAAATTGTGTTTCCCACTTGAAAAAGTAAAAATTAATGTTTTTTTGGATTTTCCAACCATTTAAACTAAATTGTTACATTTTGACAATTTAAAATGTGTTTTTGACATTTTAAATGTTTCTTTTGTTTTTGACATTATGAATTGTGTTTTTAACAAGTTAAATAGTAATTTAAACATTTCAAATTGTGTTTTTTTTAATTTTATGAGTTTGACGTTCTAAATTTTGTCATGACATTTTTAATGTTATAGGTTTTGACATTTAAATGTATTTTTTTGTTTTTGGCATTATAAATTGGGTTGTATACAATTTAAATTAAGATTTAAAAATTCCAAAATGTGTTTTTTTAATTTTATGAGTTTCACGTTCTAAATTTTGTCATAACATTTTTAATTTTATGGGTTTTGAGATTTAAAATGTTTTTTGTTTTGTTTTTAAAATTATGAATTGTGTTTTTAACAATTTAAATAGTAATTTAAAGATTTGAGTTTGACGTTTTAAATTTTGTCATGACATTTTAAATGTTTTTTTGACATTGTAAATTGTTTCCCACTTGAAAAAGTTAAAAATAATGTTTTTTTGGATTTTCCAACCATTTAAACTAAATTTAAAATGTGTTTTTGACATTATAAATTGTGTTTTTAACCAGTTTAAATTTTAAATGTATTTTTTTTCAATTTATTCATGACATTTTTAATTTTATGGGTTTTGACATGTTTAATGTTTTATTTTGTTTTTAACATTATAAATTGTGTTTTTAACAATTTAAAAATTCCTTAATGTGTTTTTTAATTTTAAATCTTAAGCTTGTTCCCCTTTGTTTTTGACGTTATTAAATTTGTTTTAAAATTTTAAATTTTTTTTTTTGGCATTAGAAATTTTGTTTTTACAGGGTTCCCACCAACAAAATGAAACAAAATTCCCTGACTTTTCCAGGTTTTCCAGACCAATTTTCATCAATTTCCAGCAATAATTATAGTTAAAAAATATATTTTATTTTTCTTTTTACAATTTTTTTTAACATTTCTTAAAATATAATAAAAAAATTAAACAGAACATTCATAAAAAATTTGAAAGGAAACAAACTTAGTTTATAAGGTCATACATTTTATAAGTATTTGCGCAAATTATTTATTTTAGTTTCAATGCCCGGCTATATTATTTGTAAAAAATAATCTTCGGCCGGTAATAAAAATAGAAACAATTTTCGGAAAAATCAAGAAAAATTAGTTAAATTCCCTGACTTTTCGTAAAAATTAGTTAAATTCCCTGACTTTTCGTAAAATTCAGCAAATTCCCTGACTTTTCCCTGACTTTTTTATTAATATTTAATTTCCCTGACATTTCCAGATTTTCCCTGTTTTCCAGGTGAGTGGGTACCCTGTTTTAACAATTTAAATTGTGTTTTAAACATTCTAAAATGTTTTTTTTTTTAATTTTATGAGTTTGACGTTTTGTCATGATATTTTTTGTTATGGGTTTTAACATTTTAAATGCTTTTTGTTATTTTTAACAATTTAAATTGTGTTTTAAACATTTTAAAATGTGTTTTTTTTATTTTATGATTTTGACGTTCTAAATTTTATCATGACATTTTTAATTTTATGGGTTTTGACATTGTAAACTGTGTTTCGCACTTAAAAAAATGTTATTTTGGATTTTCCAACCATTTCAACTAAATCTAAACCAAACTATTCTAACTAAATCTTTTGTTACCTTGTTACCTTATTAAATATGTTTTGACATTTTATGTGTTTTTGACATAATAAATTGTGTTTTTGACAATTTAAATTGTGTTTTAAACATTCCAAAATGTGTGTTTTTTTCTATTTAATGAGTTTGATGTTCTAAATTTTGTTATGGAAATTTTAATTTTATGTGTTTAGACATTGTAAATTGTGTTTTTCACTCTAAAAACAAAAATAATGTTATTTTGCATTTCCAAATATTTAAACCAGAACTAAAGCTTGTGCTACCTCAAGAAAATCACCTGGGTCTCCACAGACTATTCACTTTCACTTTACCTCATAAAAGATTCAAAAAACCGTTACCGTTAACGAAATTTCCGCAAAATTATCGAATTATCAAACTACAAACCGCGCTAAAATAAATTTTAGCAGGCACTCAGGTGCGAAACGCCGCGAAAATTGCCCGCTAAGCGAATAACAAACTACGGATATCAGCCTAACAAAATTATCCTGCTGATTTAAGAATAAATCATTCTTTTAAAACGCGAAATTGTCACTTTTAATAACCCTAAAAGCTTGTATACGAATAAGCGAAGGGAAAGGCCCCTAAGCCTAATTCACCTTGATTTCATTCCTGCCGGTTTAAAGAACATTCCTGCAAAACAATGCAAGATATATAAGTATAAAATTGTTCAAAATGTCTTAAAATCACAAATTCATAATTTTAATTCCTGCTGTTTTTCAAAATTCCTGCTTTTTTAATTTTTTTACCACTACTACCAAAAAATAAACACTTTTCAATTCACCTTAATTTTATTCCTGCAGGTTTAAAGAACATTCCTGCAAAACAATGCAAGATATAAGTATAAAATTCTTCAAAATCTCTTAAAATTACAAATTCAAAATTTTCATGTTTTCGCAGGAATTTCAAATTACTGCCAAGCGTGTTTTTTAATTTTTTTACCACCACCACCAAAAAATTAACACTTTCGATATACTTCTCAACTCACCTTAATTTTAATCCTGCCGGTTTAAAGAAAATTCCTGCAAAACAATTCAAGAGTTACAAAATTATTTAAAATGTCCTAAAATCACAAATCAATGATTTTCATGATTTTGCAGGAATTTTCAAATTCCTGCTGAGTTGCAAAATTCTTGCTTTTAAACTTATTTTAACTTCCAATGCCAAAAAATTAACTCTTTTTCTGGACTTCTCAATTTACCCTGATTTCATTCCTGCAGGTTTAAAGAAAATTCCTGCAAAACAATGCAAGAGTTACAATATTATTAAAAATGACGTAAAATCGCAAATCAATGATTTTCATGGTTTTGCAGGATTCCTGCTAATTTGCAAAATTCCTGCAAAACAATGCAAGAGTTGCAAAATTATTAAAAATGACGTAAAATCACACATCAAGGATTTTCATGATTTTGCAGGAATTTTTAAATTCCTGCTGATTTGGAAAATTCCTGCTTTTTAACTTATTTTTACTTGCAATACCAAAAAATTAACACTTTTTCTAGACTTCTCAATTTTTGCAGGATTCCCCGGCTTGTGCTCCTGCTGCCCGATCAAACCACTTACCGGCATGGGCTCGTCGCTGCTGACATCTAGCGAGCACGCGGCGCACCACCAGCAGGACGGCGATCATCGTTCGTCCAGCGTGGCCGAGCTTCGCAGGAAAGCGCAGGAGCATTCGGCGGCGCTGCTGCAGTCGCTGCAGCACGTGGCCAATTTTCAGCAGGCCGCAGGACTGGCGGGCGGTTTGAATTTCCCGCTGCTGCCGCCTTTGGCTTTGCAGGCGTTCCAGAGGAAGCAGGAAAGTACAGAGAGCGAGAACAAGGAGAGTGCCGCGTAGAAGGGATGTTTATTTGCAGGATTTTTTTTGTTAAGTTGATGATGAAGTTTTATAAGCTTTGCAAGTTTTTTACTGTTTATAAGCTATTTTCCGCAGGATTTTTAGTTTTATAGACGCCAAAAAATTATAATATATTTAGTGCAATTACTGTAAATAATAATAAAAATAAACACCAAAGCTGCTGTATATAATATTGTATAAGTTTTAATTGTATATAACACAATTTTATTCACGTCTGTACTTATTCTGTATTTCTTTTTTCATATGCATAAATATATCCTAGTCTTTATAATTTAACTCCTCGTAGTAAGTGTATGATGAACAAAACCAAGAAAAAATTATTATATAAAATAAACCAAACAAATAAAAAAATACATGATAGAAATAATTTTAAAAATAGGTAAATAGTATGTATATAAATTAGTAAAAAAAAACGTAGACATTGTGATGTTATATTCGTACTATGTAAAATAATGTAAAAATAGTGTGTTCAATAAAAAATTAAAAAATATGTTCGAGTTTTTTATTTAACCCCTTATAAAGCGACGCTGACCGACGTCGAAGGCGTCGCAACGCTGATCGATGCGTCCACAATACGAGACGTGATTGGTGGAAAAATATGTTAGGGTGGGGTTTACATCCCCCTAGAAGGCGCCAAGGAGGATGCATGAAATGTCTTAAATTAAATTTTATATAATTATTTTTATTATTACGTTTTATTTTAAGACAATGTTAAAAAATATAAAAAAATAATACTCTTAAAAAAATAATAAAGGAAAACCCTACAAACATAACATAATTTAATGATTTAGACATTTTTTCATCCTAGTATTGCCATGTGTCTGACATTCTTTAGTAAGTCATGTTTAAGTAATTTTAACTAAAAACACAAAAATAATAAAATAAAAATAATCACTTAATTTAATGTAACTAAAGCTGAATTTAACAGTAAAAACCTTATTTTTTTTCATTTTTACAAAAACAAACAATTTAAAAACATTTAGTGTTTCTACTTATCTGGGTATAATTTGCACAATTTGGCAACGTCGCGTCTCGTTGGTGGGAGGTGTACGCAGCCTCGACAGTGTCAAGCTATAGTGGGGAATACATTCGTCTCTCTCTTACTCTACCTCGCTAAAGAAGTTTCTCTTCAAAACATAGAAACAATTAAAAAAATAACCAAATTTATACCTTTCAAGCCCTATCCCTTAAATTTAATCTTCAAAAGTTCTGCCTGTACAAAAAATCACACCAAAATCTACAACAAACATCCTTGTTTTTTACAAGTCACGGTTTTAGTAGGTATTTCTGTTGATTCTTTAAATATATTTCTACTCCCTTATATAAAACGCCCATTATAGTACATCCCAGATAGCTCACAAAGTCTTGAAGATGTCTTTTGTATGTCTGTATTATGCCTGAACGTCTAAAGAAATACAAAAGACGCCTGAAAGACATCTTTTGATAGACGTCTTAAAGATATCTTCGTTTAATGTTCTAAATGCCTGATACCGCCGCACAGTGTTTCAATTCTCGAAATTTTCGGCAAAATATCTAGTAGTCGGATTCAAAGATAATACCTATCTTATCTTTGGTCGGATTCTCCTAAAAATCAGTATATAGAGGTTTTTGGGGTCGCTGATAACGAGTCTGGAATCAGAATTCCAAAATTCAAAATGGTGGACCTCAAATGGCGGACATTTTTATCAAAAAATTGTCGAAATTAATTAAAAACCTGTAAGAGGTTCTTTTTAAAATCTAAATAAAACATCTTTTTATAAAATAGCTTAATTTAGTTTATTATAATTACATTTATATGATATTATTTAATACCTACATATATATTAAACAATCTCCGTCACTGAATTCGCTAAAAAAATTGTCAACACAAATAACCACAATTCAAATTTGACATTAACACACTACAATGCGCATGCGGAGTTGTTTTAACGCATCTACAAGAGGTGGGTTAAATGTGTAAAATCGGTGTTAAATATCTTAGTAGTCACGAACGATTTACGCAAGTGAAAGTCTAGACACTGCTGTTGTAATAAACGTTTTGAGTTAAATCCGAGTGAATCGAGTAAAAGTCATGAACGCAACCCAGAAATAAAAAAAATCTTATATTTTGTAAAGCAAAACCACAGATACGCGGGCGACATAGGCTTAAAATAGCGAGGTTTTTTACCACAACCGTGCCTGAGCGCCCAAGAACATGTAGTTTTAAAGAGCGGGGGGCGAGTTAGGGCAGATAATTTATTGATGGCTTGATAGACAAAACTCTAAGCTATTCAACGGATCTTGAATTCATTACAATTTTTGTAGCTCGATTCAAAGTTTGCGATTTTAACAGACCGATCTTGTCGGTTACAATAACCCGTTGTACAAGCAAAATCTACGAAAAACAAATACATATCTGAATTTTAGATACCTTGAAGATCATCCTTTATCAAACCGCATAACAATCAGACACACCAAACACAAGTTATTCACTTTTAAACAATAAACAATTTTCCGCAGCGATCGCGTGTTAAGTACCTTCAACTGAAAGCGTCAAGTTTAAACTGATGTACAAGACAAAATATACGTATTTTATATAATTTTTTTTCAATACAGGATGGAGACAGGTTTTAAATACCCATGTAACTCAAAATTTACCTGAAAAAAAATGTAAATTTTTTAGGTTTTGTCGATATTTTCGAGAATTGAAACACTGTGCGCCGGTAGATTCCCAAGTTAGAAATTCTAACGGGAATTTCAATAAATACAACTGTCACTTTTTGTACCTTTAACATTTCCCTTGTAAGAATGTTTAATATTTTGTGATAATATTTTCCAATTATAGTAATAAAAAAATCACAGCATAAAATATGTTCGTAACATTTTCGTATAGATGTCGCTTTATACAAATATTTAATTTAAATAAATTTTCAGATAATATTAAGTATTTGTAGTAGAAAATAGTATATTAAAGAACTAATGTCATAAGACGTCATTTTGTCGCACGCGGACAATTTAAATTTAATTTGGACTTTAGATAGTTGGTATCACAGTCATTGGTTTGACATTTAATGTCAAAATGGATTCGCCATGCCGTCCTTAATTTACTTCTTTTTAATAAGCGGCTGTTAATGTTAAAGAAAAAAAGGATTTTCTTTGGTGTTAAACAAAATTTATTTCCAGAAAAGTGTCGTAAGTACTAGAAAAATCATAAAAATATTATAACCGATGTGCAAAATATTATGCTGTTTAAAGTATATCCAACCTATAAAATCAAAATTTTGGGTGGGGTAAAGTATCTCATTACAGCACCGAAAGCGGTGTTATAATGAAGTCATTTATAAACTTTTCTAGGCGTTTATTAAGCTTGATACATAATATACTATTTTTTAAGAACATCTAAAATTATTAAAAGCTAAATTACGAAAATGAATTTTAACCCTCGTGGATGGCAAATGAATACAAATTGTTCAGTGTAATCTTCTAATAAGCGATAAATTTAATGTTAATAATGATATTGTAATGTCGGCTATAAATTACATCAAAACAAATGGCTAATTGTTAGTAATTAGCGTGATGGAGGTGTAAAGTGTCGACGGGAATATATTACAGCGTAAATTATGGCTCGCAATTGCGAAATTAACCATGAAATATTATTATTGCGCTCGTATTGCTCACATGTGCACAACTCTCGCCCTACGCGGATGCAAAACGCCCCATGTGACTTTCATTAATTAAATCTTTTTCGACGGTTAAATTGTGTTTTCATTAAAAAAAAGCTTTCAGTACACAACAAAAATAAAACATCAAGTTTCTATAGGTGTAGGTACTATGCTCCACACCTCAAAGTCCCACCACGTGACCACGTACGGAACGCAGTCTTTTGAAAATTTGGCATTTAAGGCTTTTCAGGTTATGTATCTGTCAAAGTATAGTCAACGAAAGAAATAATATTATGTTTAGGCGTTAAAAATGTATAAATCTTTATAACATTACAATAACAATGGATGGTTTTAGAATTTAAGAATATAAATACTGCATTTAATGAAATTCTAAAGTATATGGTGCCAAATAAGTAATATTTTTGTGCATTTGGTCCAAATATCTGGTTTTCTCCATAAAATAATTTTAACTAAACAGCATTTATTAAAAAAAACTTGCTTCTCCATTATGGAATAAGAATATCTGTTTTAAAGGTAGGTTAATATATTATAACAAAAATATCATCTAATTTTGTAATTTTAAGGTTAGAAAAATTTATTTTGACCAAAATAAATAAGTATTTTGGATTATTTAAAAGACTGTATAATATGGTATTTAAAAATGTGGTAGTTTTTCTTATCCAGCTTAAAGTGTCTACACTATACCTAAATAAAGTTTTGTCAAGACAAATAATTAAAAAGCTTAGACTGAACTTGATCTACATCAAAAAATCATTATAACTTTAAAATTTTTTATAAATCACATGTCATGGGAGTATTAAATATTTTCACATTGCAAGTTTCTCTAAAAATTGTTTGTTTTCTTATAATCTAACTTAAAGTAGGTATGCCGAGAGGTATGCACAAGTTTTGTCATTAGAAGTATAAAAGCTTCAATTTAATTTGAACCATATTCAACAATTATTTAGTATACCTATATTTATTTATGACCATATTAACACACTCTTCCAAATAATCCACTTATTTATTTCGGTCAAAATAGATTTTTCTAACCTTAAAATACAAAATTAGATATTTTTTGTTCTAATACATTAACCTACCTTTGATACAGATATTCTTATTTCATAATAGAGAAGTGAGATTTTTTTTAATAAATGCTGTTTAGTTAAAACTATTTTATGGAGAAATGTAAACCCAATGCACAAAAATATCACTTATATTGCACCTTACACTTTGGAATTTCATTAAATGCAGTATTTATATTTCTAAATTCTTAAACCAACCATTGTTATTGTGATACTATTAAGATTTATTAACTTTTAACGCTTAAACATAAGCGGTAACACTATAAATATTATTTCTTTCGTTGACTATACTTTGACAGATACATAACCTGAAAAGCCTTAAATGCCAAATTTTCAAAAGACTGCGTTCCGTACGTGGTCACGTGGTGGGACTTTGAGGTGTGGAGCATAGTACGCTAAATAAGCATAGGGTTTGGCAACGCGCGCGCAATCTGGCGGTGTTTGATAGTATTGTGTGCATTCAAGAATTGATAATAATACGAACTGCATTTTAAAATTGTATACCGTTGAGTGGAGACTTTCTCAATCAATAAATTTTATCAGAAAACAGATTGACTGTGTCAAACAACTATACCTATAGGTATCCTAGAAACTTTAAATTTTAAATCCCACCCTAATAAATAATATACCTAAAAAATATGACTATTTTTGTTAATTTTATGCTTTTAATGTTGGATAAACAGGCTCAGATGTGCATAACCCTAAATCTAGACAAATATCTTGAAAGCAATTAGAATTAAACTCTTATACGGATTGTAAGAAAACCCAGAAATTTATGGCCTAACTTTAGAATGCTTAGCAAAGTAAATTGCTTGTATTGCCTGTATTTTAATGGTTTTTGAGCATAAATAATCATACTTACTTCTTGGTAATACTTGCTATTATTAAAAGACGTTTATAGTAAAATAATAAATATTTATTTGTTTAAAACTTACAAATTATGTTGGTTATTTTAAGCTCAATATTTTTATGTTTTTACGGACCGCGTTGTTGTAGCCTTCTTTGTATTGGTACCAAATATCATTGGTGGGTTTTTTGGATGTTGATTCTAAAACAATAAAATAAAAAATTGAAATAAAAATTTAATCAAAAAATTTAAAAAAATTATTTTAAACCTGTAACCAACTTTTTGTATGAGATTAAATGAACTACTCCCATATTTAAGTATGTCGAACTACTACATAAACATAACCTACATTTTTAAATCGCAGTTGATAGTTTGAAGAATTATAAAATTAAAATTAAGTACACAAGAAAAATTCTTTCTCAACTCTCTTTAAATGAAATAGTCAAAATTCTACAATTTGAATTAGTACCAGCAACAATATTTATGACAAATTTAACTGATTTTTATAAAAGTAGCACTGGATAAAAACTTTTTTTAAATTTAAATCCACTAATTTTACTATTTCATTTTGTAGAATTTGACTAATTATTAGTGACTGCATTATTAGGTATTATTATTATTTAGGAGATTCCCGCCCATCAGATTTCAAATCTTGCGAGTTTGCAGATTAGAAAAGCTTTTCTCGTCCAATTAAATTTAGAACATTATATGCAATTCGCATTTCGAATATACATGCTTTTATAATTTTTAAATGCATTTCTACGTTTAAAATTTTGGGCTTGTTATTATAAACTCGCTCCGCAAGCTACGCTCGTGCACAATTAAACTTGTGATTTAATGACGTTTATAGGACTACTGACCTAAAATAATTTTTATCAAAAAATTTTCAGTCCTAAATTTTCAGAAAAATCTAAATTTTAAAATAACCATAGAAAATAAAAAAATAACGGAATGAAGGCTTGAAAGAATAAGAGAGTGAAAGATTAAAAGAGTGAAACAATGAACAAATGAAGGACTAAAATTAAATAATAACAAAATCTAAGAGTGAAAAGTAAAAGAGTGAAATATTAAACGATGTGGCTCCCGTCCCGAGGCGGGACTTAAGTTCAGTCCCGATTGACGTCACACACTGTAAATCGGTTTTTATTCCCCGAGATTTTATAATTTGTGTCAAGCTCGATGGCTTAGATGGTAGGGCGGTCGCTTGGCATGCGAGAGGTACCGGGTTCGATCCCACTAGAAGTTGTCAAACTTTTTTTATTTTTTTTATTTTATAAATTTGTTGTTTCTTTGTTAAAAAGTGTTTTATTTTTATCGTAACATAAATTTGCCCATTTTAGTTGGGTTTTTTGCTCAATGGGGCGGGGGGGGCCAATGGGGCGGGGTCGGTTGGGTTGTGTTGTTGAGTTTGGGTTGGTTTGGTTTTATGACGTAACTAAAGTGCCCTTAACATGTATACAGGTACAATTTATTATTATTATTTTATTATAACATAACAAATCTTAAAATTATGACGTCAATCGGGACTGAACTTAAGTCCCGCCTCGGGACGGGAGCCACAGCGAATATTAAATGATTAAAATAATGAATGAATTGAATTAAAGGAAGACAGAACAAAAGAATAAAGGAATTAGAGAATGAAGGACTGAAGGAATAAAAAAATAATAAAAATGAAAGGTGAAAGCTAGAAAGATTGGAATATTAAAATATTGAAATAACAAAGGATTGAAGGAATAAAAACATTAAACAATTAAAAAAGGAAAAAATGAAAGAGTGATGGAATGAAGAAAAAAAGGACTGAAAAAATAAAAGAACGAAAAATTGAAAGAGTGAAAGTAAAAAGAGTAAAAGAAGTGAAGATGTAAAAAAGTAAAGAATGAAATAATAAAAGATTTAAAAAAATTTAAGAACTAAATTAAAGAAAAAAAGAATGAAAGAATAAAAATTGAAAGAGAAAGAATAAAAAAGTGGAAGTTTGAAAGATTGAAACAAGGAAAAAATTAAAGAATTAAATTAAAAAATGAAAGAATTAATAAATAATAAAAATATTAAAGAATTATAGAAGGAAAGAACAAACGATAAAATGAATGATGGAATGAAGAAATGAAAGACCAAACAAATTATAGAATGAACAATTGAAAGAGTGAAAAAATTAAAGAATGCGAATTTGAAATCAAGCAAAAACTTTCATAAAGAATACAATTTTCTGAGAAATGTAAAAAAAATGTGTTTTCTTTGTAACACCATATGTGGAATACTGTATACTAAAGGGTCATCCATTTCGTGCTTGAGAAAGTACACGCTGTACATACGAAAACTACCAACTGCGCATGTGCGTAAAACAGATATTTGTGTAGTTGAATAGTTGCCATTTTATAATATGGATCATTTAACCATCGCTCAGCGCTTAAAAAATTGTTAAATTGTTCTACCAAAATGGTAATTCTGCAGTGGCCACATATCGTGCTTTACGACCAGATTATGGTCGGCATAATCGCCCTTCCCAACAAACGATTTTAAACATTGTAAATAAATTTGAACGGAATGGTTCGGTGACAGATATTATAAGACCAGTGCACCATCGGAATACACGTTCTCTTGAAAACATCGCTGCGGTTAGTGCAAGTGTGACTGAAAACCCAAGATTATCAATTACACGGCGCGCTCAGCAATTGGGTTTATCCTACGGGTCGGTATGGCGTATTTTGCATTTGGATTTGCATTTTCATCCGTACAAAGTCCAGCTCACACAAGAACTAAAGCCTACAGACCATGGACAGCGTCGAACATACGCCAATTGGGTACCTACTGGAACAACAAGCACTAAATGAAGACTTTTCAAAGAAAATTTTCTTCAGCGATGAGGCCCATTTCTTGCTCGGTGGATACGTAAATAAACAAAACTGCCGTATCTGGGGCTCCGAAAATCCACAGGCAATTGTTGAAGTGCCGTTACATCCACAAAAAGTGACTGTCTGGTGTGCATTATGGTCTGGTGGTGTCATTGGACCATATTTTTTCGAAGATGATCAAGGAAGAACCGTTACCGTCAATTCCGAACGATATGGCCGTATGTTAACCGATTTTTTTTGGCATGAAATTGAAGATATGGACCTGGCCAATACGTGGTTCCAACAAGACGGGGCCACATGTCACACAACACGAAATAATCGGGCTTTGTTGCAAGATAAGTTTCCAGGACGAGTAATTTCGAGATTGGGTGATGTGAATTGGCCACCAAGATCTTGTGATCTAACGCCATTGGACTTTTTTTTGTGGGGCTATGCAAAAGATCGTGTTTATGCCAACAACCCTCTAACAATTGACGTGTTGAAAGATAATATCCGTCAAGTAATGGCCGAGATATTGCCTGAAATGTGCCAAAAAGTAATAGAAAATTACCTCAAAAGAATTGAGTCCTGCAGGAGATCCCGTGGAGGACATTTAAATGATATTTTGTTTCACAATTAATGCCATTAACCAGACTTTATAATGAAATAAAAATTTTATCGCAATCTAAATCTTTACTGTGTTTTTTGTTAATTTACTTTCTCAAGCTGAACTTGGATAACCCTTTATAACGCGTTTTGATGTTCTACATAAATTAAGTTTTTAATATTCTCAAATGTCTTTAAGTTTATTCTTGTTATTATCAATTAAGTTTTCGAAATTATATTTTTACAATTTTATTTTCAAATTTTAAGTGGTGTTTTTGACATCCGAAAATGTGTTTTTACACTGAAAGAAATGTTTCTATAAAACAGTATTGTTAAGACGAGTTTCATAAAGAAAATAAGAGGATGCTTAGTTAGAATCATATTAGTTTATAAAGACAATAATCTGTGTAGTAACTGTTATAATTTTGATTTTATTCCAGTTGTTTAATACTGGCTATAATCTAGATGCATATTGTTTATGAAATGTTTTCTTGTAGATATCATTTATTTTAAGTTATAATTTTTTTTATAAGAACTATAATATGTCTTATACTGTTTAATAGTCGTCTTTATACTCTATAGTATAAGCTATTAGGCACATGCGCTTGGTGCATTGCTTTGACCGCGAGGAATAAGTGTCTGTGGCTGTAGTGTTTTGTTTATTTGTTGTGATAATAACTGGCAATTGTTAAGGGTAAGTTTTTGTAATAATTATACATCATGATACGAGCATAAGCCTTAGTTTAATAAAGGTGTATGCCTTGATCTTGGAACAGCACAACGAGCTGAGCACGTGGACGCAGGTTCAGGTACACGAAAACTGTTTTTATTTATTATAATTTTTTTTAAATAATTCCCATTATAATAATTATTAATTTTTCATCATATAATATACGTAAATGTACAGGGTAAACTACGTAAGGTGACCCATATACTCATAAGTATAATATATTAAATGCATGGGTCACCTCACGTGGTTTACAAGGATATACTTATAAGTATATCTATAGATACCTTAGAAACTACTGGAGTCACAAAAAATAATAGCAACATTTGTAAAAATTAACCAATCAAGAGCAACATTATTAAGAAGTTTGGACATGGGAACATTTGATTTAAAATTGTTTATTATTTATATTCTAAATTAAACTATATTTTATTTATTTATATTAATATATAATAACAATGTTAATATAGTATTAAAAATATACTACCTACATAAATTTTTGTTTTCTACACATTTTTTGGGGCAGTAGTTTCTAAAGATTAAAATTAACGATTTAAATCATGATAATAAAAATCATGATTAAAATTATTAAAAAATAGCCCCCAAAACAAAAACAAACGATTTTACTAAATATTAAAAGAATACATTTTTCAAATAATAATTTTAAAAAATTCCAGTAACACGCTGTGGGGTTTTTGTAAGTAGGAATATTTTTACGCTTGCTTTATTTTTTCCCTTGGCATTCTTTGTAAGTTTCGACATGCAAAATTTTGATTTACTTCTGTACTATTATATACCTAATTATGTTTATTTATGTTTTATTTATTTCTTGTACCTGTTTTTTATAATAAAATTATAAAATTTATAAGAGTTGAACTTTTTATATAAGGACCCTTATCCTGTCAGCAAGTAAGTATAATAATTCTTATGAAAAATGCATAATTTCGTATATAAGACATATTATATTAAAGTAATAAGTAAATTGCTAATAAAGAGAATAAACAGAGTTTGTAAAAAGTATTAGCTACTACATAAAA